GCTGACCTTTTTTATCAGACAATGTTCTTTGTCAAAGGGAACACGTGTGTTAGAGGATCCCTAGACGTCTTCAGCAGCACAACCACCTCCCCAAGTCATGACAATCAAAGGTGTCTCCAGGTATTGCCAAATATTTCCGAGTGGCACAACCCCCTCCTTGCCCCAAGACAAACAACCAGTCAGTTCCTGTGGTAGCAACAGACCATTAAATGATCGTTTCTCATATTTTTGTACTTGGTGCATCTGGGGAAACTTGAACTTTGTTCTTTATTTGCACTAATTTCCTGACTATACTTTGGACTTATGTGCAGAGATATCATTTAGAATTATTTCATTATGGGGCAGAAAATAAGATCCTGAGGCAAATTTGATTGGAAATTTCTTTAATTTTGTGGCTGTCTGTAGGGAGATCTGCATCATTGAGTTCAGGAGTCTTCCACGCACTGAAGTCAATTATATTACTGTGGAGGTGATGCTTCTGTTGCTTCATTAGGAAACACTAGACTTCTCTCCACATAGATCCTGCACATGGTATAAGACTGCGACCTCCACATTTTATATATATTTTCAAGATGTGTTTTTCGTCCAATAATCTATGTTATGTGTATGGTATGTATTTATACAAAATGACTCCCTCAGCAGTAGTAGTTTTCCAATTATTTCATCTATAGTTTGCTAAGTAAACAATACCATCACCTCCAATAATAATATTGGCTTCTCCCATCCTATTCTTCATATTGGTCATTGTGTTTTCTGACATGAAGTTAGAAATGAAAACTATGATAAGTAATTGGAGTGTGGATAAACATCTTTGGATTTTGGTTTGGTTCCTCCTTTCAATGGGAGGCTGCTCACACACCGTGTTCTTCATCATGTTGTGCCCCCAAACATCTTGAATGAGTCCTAGGCTGGCCTGGCACTCAGTGTGTCTGAAAGTGACCACAAGAGGTGAGCACCAAAGTGATTAAACACTACTGTGGCACCCTCCTCCGATTTCAACCAGGGGCTAGTGAAATCGATTCCATAGTGGGGATTTGAATAAGGCTAGAGGGGAAGAATAAAGATGTTTCTGAGTCACACAAAGGAGCCCACCCTAGGCAATGAACCATTTGTCCCAATTTCCCAATCAGAGGTGAAGTGTGTTCAGTGGCAAAGCTTGGTCTGAGTCTGGCAGCCTGGTGCTGAATCTGAGCACCCCTACTGATGGCCTTTGTAACGTGAGACAGGTCACTTCACCCTATGTCGCAGTTTCCTCTCTCATCAAATGGGATCATATTAATACTTCCTTACTAAGAAGTCTGTGAAGATGAAGAACAATGAGCCGATCTACCTGTGGTGCTGAGTGGAGTGCCTTACACTTAGTAAGCCTCCCTAATGTGTCTATTATTAATGTGAGCATTCCTGTTACTACTCTCATCGTCACTGTCCTCATTGTCTCTATAAAGATTTAGGATTAGGAAGCAAAACTTCTCTCAGTGGTGTGTATGACATTTTACACTACAGATGAATTGATGTCCCTGGAAATGTAAGAGTGCACCTGGCCTGTGAAACTTCTGAGAGGTAATGCCTTTAATAACATTCTGTGATGACTATTTTGATTTCTTGTTTGGGTGGTACTTTCCCATACTTTGAAACCTTCACTAAGTACATGGTGTGATTACTCGGTTTTGGTAATTCAAGCCTTCTCCACCAGATAGAACAATTTGGTTGAGAGGCACCTGGGTGGCTCAGTTGATTAGGCATCTGCCTTTGGCTCAGGTCATGATCCCAGCCCAGAATGGGCTCCCTGCTCCGAGGGGAGTCTGCTTCTCCCTCTCCCTCTGCCCCTCCCCCCAGCTCATGCTCTCTCTCTCTCTCTCTCTCAAATAAATAAATAAAATCTTTTTTTAAAAAAAGAATTTGTTGGGCGCCTGGGTGGCTCAGTTGGTTAGGCGACTGCCTTCGGCTCAGGTCATGATCCTGGAGTCCCGGGATCGAGTCCCACCTCGGGCTTCCTGCTCAGCGGGGAGTCTGCTTCTCCCTCTGACCCTCTTCCCTCTCGTGCTTTCTATCTCTCATTCTCTCTCTCTCTCAAATAAATAAATAAAATCTTTAAAAAAAAAAAAGAGGGGCGCCTGGGTGGCTCAGTTGGTTAAGCGACTGCCTTCGGCTCAGGTCATGACCCTGGAGTCCCGGGATCGAGCCCTGCATCGGGCTCCCTGCTCCTCGGGAAGCCTGCTTCTCCCTCTCCCACTCCCCCTGCTTGTGTTCCCTCTTTCGCTGTGTCTCTCTCTGTCAAATAAATAAATAAATAAATAATCTTAAAAAAAAAAAAAGAATTTGTAGAACTCAACACCAAACAACCAAATAATCCAATTAAAAATGGGCAGAATACATGAACAGACATTTCTCCAAAGACATACAGGTGGCCAACAGATACATGAAAAGTTGCTCAATATAATTTATCATCAGGGAAATGCAAATCAAAACCACAATGAGATGTCACATCACACCTGTCAGAATGGTGAAACTCAGAAACACAGGAAAAAACATGTTGGTAAGGATGTGGAGGAAAAGGAATCTTCATGCACTGTTGGTGGGAATGCAAACTGGTACAGCCACTGTGGAAGACACTCTGGAGGTTTCCTGAAAAATTAAAAATAGAATGACCCTGTGATCCAGTAATCGAACTACTGGGTATTTACCCAAAGAATACGAAAACATTAATTCCAAAGGATATATGCACCCTGATGTTTATAACAGTATTATCTACAATAGCCAAATTATGGAAGCAGCCCAAGTGTCCATTGATGGTGACTGGATAAAGATGTGGGGGATGCCTGGGTGGTTCAGTTGGGTAAGCATCTGCCTTCAGCTCAGGTCATAATCTCAGGGTCCTGGGATGAGCCCTGGTTTGGGTCAGGCTCCCTGCTCAGTGGGGAGTCTGCTTGTCCCTCTCCCTCTGCCCCTCCCCACGCCTGTGTGCATGTGTGCTCACTCTCTCTCTCTCTGTCTCCCTCTCTCAAATAAAATATTTTTTAAAAAATCTTGCCATTTGGAATAACATGGATGGAGCTAGAGAGCATAAGGCTAAGCGAAATAAGTCAGTCAGAGAAAGACAAATACCATATGATTTTATTCATGTGTGGAATTTAAGAAACAAAACAAACGAACAAACAAGAAAAAGGAGACAGACCAAAAACAAACTCTTAGCTATAGAGAAAAAACAGGTAGTTACCAGAGGAGTGATGGGTGGGGGTGGGTGAAATAGGTAATGGGGATTTCACTTACCAGGATCACACTTACCGGGGCGCCTGGGTGGCTCAGTTGGTTAAGTGTCTACCTTCTGCTCAGGTCATGATCCCAGGGTCCTAGAATCTAGCCCCTCATTGGGCTCCTTGCTCGGTGGGGAACCAGCTTCTCCCTCTCCCTCTGCCTCTGCTTGTGCTCTCTCTCTCTGTCCAACAAATAAATAAAATCTTAAAAAAAAAAAAAGAGTACATTTACCTTGATGAACACTGAGTAGTATATGGAATTGTTGAACCACTATATTGCACACCTGAAACTAATATAACACTGTGTTAACTACACCGAAAAAAAAGAAAAGAAAAGGAAGTATCTTCTCCATCCCTCAATTCTTTTTTTTTTTTTTAAGAGTTTATTTATTTACTTGACAGAGAGACAGCATGAGCGGGGGAAGGGGCAGAGGGAGAGGGAGAAGCTTAACTGACTAAGCCACCCAGGTGCTTCTCTTCTCAATTCTTGAAGCTGAATAAGAACTTTTCTTCTGTTGTCTGGCTGACTGGCTGATGATGTTACTGCCTGCCGTGTCCCTTTTGTGGGAGGAGCACTGGCTGAAAACTGGCCCTCCTTGTCTCTCTTCATTGGGATCAGTTATGGTTCTTTACCTCTGCCCCTCAGTTGCCACCTGATAGATGGCTCCAGGGATGCTTCTTAATCCCTGGGCATGGTGGAGATATTGCTGCAGTCTAGGAGGATTTAGGTGGCTCGGTTTGACCCAGATGATCTTAACGGTGACCACTTCCTCACAGAATTGATCTCTCACAGAGTGATTCCATCATTGTCAGAATGAAGGCTACTCTCTAGTATACAAGACTCACCCATCAGCAGGATTGTTATTTTGATGAAACCCAGTTTTCTGGGAAGTCTCATTATAGATGGGATTAACTGGTGTAATCACAAGAAAGGAATGGATCATGACCATGGGGAGTGATTGGATCGCCTGTGAGAGAGTCCCTGCTTATATTTTCCGTGGGATCCAAATTTTTCATGTCAGAAACATTTTCTAAAGTTAACCCATTGTAAACCCAGAAGTCACTTTTCATCTGAAGTGATGGTTTGGTTTTGGTTCCAATGATGTTTTTCTGAATCTGACTGAAGCTTTGGAAGGATGCCCACCTGATGCATCCCTGGTATCTGCCTGTGCACCTTTTTGCCAAAAGTGCCATGTCAGACTCCGGCTGTTCAACAGTCAAAGACCAAAATGGAGCCAGACTCATTATTGCGTCTGGAGAGTCACGTTTAAGTGTCTGTGTTTGCAAAAAAGGATCAGAGTTTTAGGAGCGGACTGGCAGCACTGTGTTCGAAGGCGCGTGCTCCCCGACAGGGCGCCTTCTGGCCGGCGTTAGGCTCAGACACCTAACCTCCGGCCCCGCTGTCACTGAGGCGTGAGGGGGCGAGGCCTTGCGAACTGTCCAATCAGCGGCGGCGGCGGCGAGGCGGTGGGTGGGGCGACGCTCCGCAACCACCCCGGACGTCGCTGCTCCTTTCAGCCTCCCTGGGGATCGCGGGTTGCCTGTATTTAAAGGTGCCACGTTGCTCTGCTAGGATTTCTTTGGCGCTGTGAGCTCTAGCGAGCGACGCGTTGTAAGGAGGGCCGCCGGGGGACCCAGGGAACCTAGAAATGGTGAGCGTGCCTCGTGGGGTGCAGAGACGGGCGCTGAGGGGCCGGTTGGAACCGGCCGGAACTGGCTTTGGCGGGACCCCCGCGGTCATCTCAGGAGTCTGCGGACCCGAGTCGGTCGGTGGCGCCCTTGGGACCTCGGTCCCCTGCGGCGCGCGGCTTGGGTGCTGGGCCGGCAGCGGGCACCCTGGCGTCCGGGCTGCTCCGTCCTGTGCGCGGCGACTTCGGCCCCGGATCCTCAGGGCAGCTCTGCGCCCGCAGCCGCGTCTCCTCCAGTTGAGCGGTGACCGCGGGGAGGGTCGTCAGGGGACCGTCGTGACTCGTTCTCGTTTGTGCGTGGGAGGCGCTGTGGTCTGTGGGCTCCCCAGTCCCTTTTCCCCTACGGGGGGCCCGTTCCCTCCTGAGCGTTCCAGATGTTTGGGAAGCAAGGGTCTGAGACCTCTGACCCTGCCCCCCCAGCCCAGCTCTCCCTTGGGCAGGCAATAAATACCTACTTTGCCAGTTCCTTCCCGCCTTCCCTAACGCCAGCTTCCCTTTTCCATTTCACAGCATCATTGTCAACCATTGATCCCATGGGTGTCTTTCAAACAGACCCAGTATTTTAGTTGTTGATTATTTAGCCACAGTCAGTGAATAGCTGTTTGTTTGGTTTGTTTGTTTTGTTTTGTTTTGTTTTCCCTGTGTGGATATTTACTTGAGAGAAACGCCGAGAATAATCACCTGGAACTACTTTGTATGAAATCCTTGTGCCTCTCCCCCCAGGATCTTTCCTGGGCACAGACATCCTGTGGGAAGTACTTTGGGTGGCGGTACCTCTTTGAGACTTTCCCGGGTGTTCTGTCCTGTCAGCACAGTTCCAGGTCAGCGCTGCCCCTCTCTGAGTAAGTCACTTTTAAAAGATTTATTCACTTTATTTTAGTCTTAGTTTTTCAATGTATAAAACTTCGTGTACTCAATAGAGCTTGAAACACAGTATGAAGTATTTCCAAAGAGGCAAGAAAGAGGTAATTTCAGAAAAATATGCTGGTACTACATTGCATGTGTTAAAAATTCTTGTTTCCCTTTTTTCCTCCCAGGATGGCTAGTAATAATCTGAGGTATCTTATTTTGGGTGAGTTCAAATGGATTTTCAGGGCTTAGATTTGCAGACCAGAAGTGTTCAAGTATGATTAAATTCATAAAAGTTACTTGCCATGGAAATAATAATTAACACCTTTTCCCCGCCCGCAGGAATGCAAGAATTACTTGTGAGGGTTCTTGTTGAACTAGCAGAGTGCCTTGCAATTTTCTTCCCTGTTTCCCACTTAAACACTGGGTTTGAGTGATTTTGCTGGACTCTTCAAACTGTGGGTTCATGTGATTTAAAATATCAGTGTTTCCAACCCACTTTCAGGGGGAAGCAGAAATCTGAGATTAGTGTCTCTAAGCTAAGACCCCCTCACTAGATCCTGTTTTGTTTTGTTTTGTTTTGTTTTAAGGTAAACTCCGTATCCAACGTGGGGCTTGAATTCACGACCCCCAAGGTCAAGGGTTGCATGCTCTACAGACTGAGCCAGCCAGGTGTCCCTTAAACTGAGAGCCCCTTAAGCCCGCGAGGGCAAGTATTTGAAGGCCCAGTTGTTCTTGGGTCCTTCTCCCAGCAAGTGTGCTACCTGCTCACACCCACCATGGAAAGAGCCCTTTATTCCGATTCGTGGAAATCTGGGATAGCACTAGCATCAGTGGGTGGGTGGGGTGATGAGGCAGTGATGCCTTTCAGGAGTTGTAGCTGTGTAGGTGTGCTCAGAGTATAAATTAGGTACGTTGAGAAAGTTTGGGAGTCAGGAGTTCTGTGTTCTGGATTAGGATTAGTGAATGGGGAGGTTCTTTGGGTCAGAAGCTTGGACTGAATCCTGCTGAGAGTTTCCTCACTTGGGAGAATGGAAGCGAGGAAGGGAGCAGTTCCCTTATGCCCTGGGGAGGGTGTGCAGGGCTCCCAGGGTTCATTCCCAGGGCTGCTCAGGTGCCCCTACCCTCCCACTCCAGGGCTTCTGTCTCCACCAGGAGAGTCTAGAATGTGGAACCTTCTGAATGTGGCTTTCCTTCTATCTTGGGGGAAGTAGGCTGCTCATCTGTGCTGAGTCCAATGTTTGTTTCCTGGATTCCTTTCCTGATCAAACAGCGCAGCCCTTTGGTTCTGGTTTCCCTCAGCACTTGGGCTCCTCAACTGTAAGTTGATTGAGAGATAGGGTAGGAAGCTAGAAAATTAGGGAAGCCAAATAGAATTTGTGTTCATTTAGGCAAGAGAACCTCAAATGGGAGGTGATGTATTTAAGTTCTCAGGTACGTACTCCATTTTGGTGTGAGGAAAGCTAGAAAATTAGGGAAACCAAGAATTTGTGATCTGTTGAGTCAAGTGAACATCAAGATGTGAGATGAACATGTTTCAGTTCAGCCTAACGTGTTAAGTCACTTTTCATTTTCAGATTAGTTTGTGAATGTGCATGTCCTGAGGCTACATTGTGAAAAAAGATGAGGTGCCATGGTGCTGGGGGGGGCCCTTTTCCCGTACCCTTAGGCTCCCTCACGAGCTCCTTGGGTGTACCGAGTGCAAATCAGTGGGAGTTCATAGAGTTTAGGGACGACAGCGCTGCATTTGTACATGTTGGAGCTCAGGCAGAGTTGCTGCTTTTCATGCCTTCCCAGCATTTGGAAAGCGGGGCTGTAGAACAAGGCTTTTTTTTTTTTTTTTTTTTTTAAAGATTTTATTTGTCAGGAAGAGAGAGACAGAGAGCCCAGAGGCAGGGGGAGCGTCAGGCAGAGGGAGAAGCAGGCTCCCCGCTGAGCAGGGAGCCCGATGTGGGACTCGATCCCAGGACCCTGGGATCATGACCTGAGCCAAAGTCACATGCTTAGCCGACTAAGCCACCCAGGCATCCCTAGAACAAGGCTTTGAGTAGAAGTTTTTCCTCTCTTCTAAGTCTCAGGATGCTGGCTTCAAAGAGCTTCATAGTGGGTTATTGAAATGAATTCAGATTAATGAAAGATGTTCTGTTTCTTTCATCAGGGATGAATATTAATGCATCTGTCTTCATCTTTTTTTGCCTTGTAGACTTCTTAAAGAGCAGTTATGTTTACAGAAAACTCGATCAGAAAGTGCAGAGATTTCCCATATAACCCCTCTGCCTGGACACTGTCTCTCTCTCCCCGCCCCCACTTCTTTTTTAACAGCATTTAAAACATTTGTTTGTTTGTTTTGTTTGTAATCTTACCCCCAACGTGGGCTTGAACTCATGACCCTGGGATCAAGAGTCTCATGCTCTTTCAGCTGAGCCAGCCAGGCATCCCTGTTGTGTATTTTATGTCTTGTATTACTTTGGTGCATTTGTTAAATTTGATGAGCCAACTTTGAAGTAGTTTACATTAGCGTTAGCTCATATAATCTCAGGTCTTCAGCTAACATGAAAAGACATTTTTCATCATTTCTGTAACATATAGAATATTTTCATTGTCCTAAAAACCTCATATGTCTCCCCCCCTTCATTCCCTGGCAGCCAAGGATCTTTCAGTGTTTTTTACTTTTATCTTTTCCAGAATGTCATATGCTTGGAATCATAGTGTGTAGCCTTGTCATATTGGCGTCTTTCACTTAGGAATATGATTTTAAGTTTTTTGGTTTTATAATCGCATTTATATTTATAACCGAAGAATATGTCATCCTGTGGATTTACCAGTGATTGTTTATCCATTTGCCTGTGTTTGTGTTTGTTTTCTTAAGTAAACTCTGCCCCCAACGTTGGGTTCGAACTCACAACCTCAAGATCGGGAGTTACATCTCTACCAACCGAGGCAGCCAGGCATCCCCATTTGCCTATAATTTGTGCTGGTCTCATCCTGTCTGTACCAATTGTTGTGGTTGGACTGGTCCTTGTGGTTCCTGTTGTGCTCATAAGACTCCCTTCTGCAGTAACCACCAGGAAACTTGGAAGAAGTTTTTTTGTATAACCTAGAGGATCTGAAAATTATACGGCACTCCCAGAGCTACACATCAGTGTTCCCAGTAGAGAGAGAGAGAGCATCCGGGCCTCTGTTCTTATTTTACTGGGGTAGGGGGCGGGGGGGATGGTCTGTGGTTTTACTGGCTCCTCATTATTGGTGAATTTAAAACTTAAGAAAAGGAATTTAAATCGCAAGAGAAAACAACAAGTGGCCTGAATGGTCAGTTATCAAAATCAACCAAGATCTCTAAAACAGGGAGGTGGTTTGGCTCTTTATCTAGTCATGTGGCTGGCAATGTGTTTATTCTAGATACTGTTTTTGAAGTGAATGCCTCAGCAATCAAAGCTTAGGTCAGGCACTTGCATTACAAAAAAGACAAAAACCCCAAACTGTCCTGCCGTACGTTACAATCCATCCTGTGATGCAGATGCATCAGAGTCGATGGGGAGGACAGTAACTAACTGCCTGGTTAGCTGATCTGCTAAAAGTCAGGGGTAGGGTTTCTCCAAACCCAGAAAATAGACCTCTATGTAGGATTATAGTAGCAAATCATGTAATAATTGAACAGGCAATAGTCTGAAGTCCAGTCTATAACCATTGTCCTAAACTTGAAGAGTCCTACAATAAAACTAAGTCAGTGATCTCTGGGGCCCTGGAAATCCTTTCAAAGAATTGGGTAATATCGTGGAATATTTTAACATACGGGCCATCTGGTGTAAGTAAGTTTGAACTTGTCCTGAGTTGGTAGATTAGTTCCACAGCTCGTTGATCTGGTTTCTTACTCCTGAGAATGGATCAGTTCAGTTAAAGGTTGGGTCTCATTTCAGGAGGCGGTGATGCAGGTGGGGATGCCAGAGTTAAGCCTGAATGGTACAGATATTTGCGGCAGGTTTTATGAAGAGGTATTTCTGTGGACACAAAAGAGAAACTGGTTAATGATTGGAGCAGATTACAATCCCAGTTTCTGAGTTCTGGAGGCAGCCAGTCAAGATGCTTCTAGATGTTGGGATTGAAGCATCTTTAGACGGAGTGAGGGCAGGCAGGGGCAATCTGATATATTTTCCTGCTTTACAGTTTGAATGTTTTGTGATCTTTCTGAGTGGCCCACATATCACTGGCACGGAGATTGACCATACGTATATGAGCTGTTGTAGTGGTTTCCCTCAAGTTTGTATCAAATTAGCTTGTGTGCATTTGGGAAGAGGGCAGTTTTAGTTCTCAGTGATTCCAAGTCAGAAGAATGGGAGAGGGCGCCTGGGTGGCTCAGTCGTTAAGCGTCTGCCTTCTGCTCGGGTCATGATC